AAAAAAAAAAAAAAAAAGAACCACTTGAAAGTGCTTGAATGCCAAAACCAAGAAAAGAATGTCAGTTTAAAGGTGTGCATGATCCAAGCCGTTGTATTTTTAATTGCTTCCCAGGCATCTGAAAATTGAACAGGGAGTAGAAAGATTAAGGAAGAATTGATGCTTTTGAATTGCAGTTATGGAGAAGAATTTTGAATATACCATGGACTTCCAAAATGACAGACCTGTCTTGGAGCAGTTGGAATCTGGATTTTCATTGGAAGCAAGGATGATGAAATGTTGTGATATTGAGCATGTTATCAGAAGAGGACAGTCCTTGGAAAAACACATCATGTTCGGAAAGGTGGAGGGTCAGAGAAAGAGAGGAAGACCCTCTTTCAACAATATATATTGATGAAGTGAACATAATGAACTTGAGCATTCTAGAGATGAAGAGGATGGGGCAGGTTAGGGGAAGAATCAGATCTGTTGTTTATAAGTTTGCTACCAACAACAGTCATTTAAGACACAATTTTTCAGAAGCCACAAACTAAGTTGTGTGTTTTAGAGTAATTCTCACTGTTCTAGTGTGTAAACTTGGCTGAAGACCAAACCCACTGCCATCAAGTCAGTTATACCTGTGGTGTCTAATAGGGGAGGGGAGAAATGCCTCTGCAGGTTCCAAAACAATAAGTCTTTGGGAGAGGATTGCCACATCTTTCTGCAGTGCAGCTGGTAAATTTGAACCACCAACCTTTTGGTTAGCAGCCCAATTTCAGCCACGATTTAATCTAATACTTCAATTTAATAGATTTCTTGTTCTGTTGACGGTTAGTGCTGTTGTTTTTCTGTATCATTTATCATCTCATGAGCTAGTGTGATTGTGAACATTTTCTATAATTTTTAAAAGCTACTATGGAGATAGTAATAGATAATTCAAACTCATTCCCGTCAAGTTTGAACTGACTCCTGACTAACCCTCGACTGGGTTTCTGAGACTAGTCGTTCAGATGGAGATTGCCCATCTTTCTCCTGAGGGACTGAAGATGGATTCTCACTGACAGAGAGGGCTGGCCTGTGAGTCAACAACACAGCTTCCTACAAATTAGACTACCCAGCTCCCTCCTGGTAGAAATAGGATTTATGTATTTCTTTTCAGTAGACTATTTACTTTAATCTGTTTTTCATTTATCTTTTTTGTTGGTATGATGTATGCTGTCAAGTTGGCACCCACACATAGCTGAGCCTGAGCGGGCTTTCAGAGGCAATAAATTGCATGGGAGGAGATTACCCATCCCTCTACCACAGAACAGTTGGTGGATTTGAACCACATGCCTTTGGGATTGTGATACAGCTTCTTACCACTAAGCGACCTGCTTGCTGAATAATTAAGGAGAAACTGACTTATAATTTCTCTGAGTTAAACCTTGCCAGATGATTGAGGAAACCAGAACTCCCTAGAATTTTTACTAGACCATAGAAATTTAGGACTATACTAAGGACATGGTCCAATGTGGGTATATAATGCTTAAATTTTTTTCAGCTAGAGATTTCACAATTGGTCAAGAATAATTGAGAATAGAGGAGAAATTGTAATGGATCAGATTGATGCTTGTCTCCATGGTGCTGGCATAATGACAAGATATTTGGGGTGGTGGATAAGGTCATAGTTTTCAATCTTCTTACCCTTTCCCTACCTTTATTCTAAATTAGATATTACTTTCTTACGTCCTTAAGATGTAGTGATCAGAACTATATATCTATGCATCTTTTTTATCTGTTTAGAGTTGATCTTCCTAATAGTTGTTAGTATTCACTGATTTGTTACTCTTTTTTCGCCAGCGCTGAAACCTAGGCTGTAAGTTCTTTTCCTAAATTATTACTGACCTAAAGCCCAACATTTTTATTTTAGATGTAAAATTTAGATCTTTTAATTCTTATATTTATTACCTTGCATATACTCATATAAAAACTTATTTGTGACATTTTTCGTGACTTGTTGGTCTCATCATATTCACTAGTAAGAATGATAGGCTTTCATTTTTCTTTTTTTAAAAATAATTTTAATGAACATCTACTGAGAATTTGGATTTCCATTCATTCATTGCTGCACTTCTCTACCCACCCAGCCCTCTTCCCCCGCCCCCCAGTTCGCTCGTTCACGCCTCTCTTTCAAAAGTAAAAGAAAGACTCCTTCCCTGGTACACAGTCCCCCCTGCACCCCTCCCACTGCCCCAAGTACATTCCACTATGCAACCTTAATTGTGGACTCTTGTGATAACCATAATACCCTATCATGCACCGCTTTTAAATTATTCAGTCCCTCATCTGTTTCAGTGCAGTATACACAATTTATCCAGTTTTTCTCAGTCTTACCCCCCACCCTGTTATCAGTCCCATTTTACAGCAGTGGCACCATGCAATATTTGTCCTTTTGCGACTGAGATATTTCACTCAGCATAATGTCCTCCAGGCTCACCCATTTTGAATAATATTGAATGAGTTCCTTGGTTTTCAATGCAGCATAGTATTCCATTGTGTAAATATACCACAGCTTCTCTAGCCATTCGTTTGTTGATGGGCATCTGGGTTGTTTCCAACTCCTTGCTATTGTGAACAGAGTTGCGATAAACATGGGTGTGCATATATCTGCTTGGATGTCAGTTATGGTCTCTTTGGGATATATTCCCAGTAGTGAAATTGCTGGGTCAAATGGTATATCTATTTGCAACTTTTTGAGAAAGTGCCATTCCGCCTTCCACAGTGGTTGTACCATTTTACATTCCCACCAACAGTGAATAAGGGTTCCAGTTTCTCCACAACCTCGCCAGCATTTGTTGCTTGCTGTTCTGCTAAATTTTGCTATTCTGACTGGGGTGAGATGATATGTCATAGTTGTTTTGATTTGCATCTCTCTTAGAGGTAGGGATTTTGAACATTTCTTCATGTGCTTGTTGGCCATCTGAATGTCTTCTTTGGTGAAGTGTCTATTCATATCCTGTGCCCATTTTTCAATTGGATTATTTACATTTATATTGTTGTGGTGCTAGGCTTTCATTTTTCAAACCTCAGTATTTACTTAGAAAGAAATCAGACTGCTCCAGTTTCCACTCTTGAAGAAATCCTATTTGTTAAATCCTTTCATGTGTTCATGTCATGACTTGATAGGCATTCCTAGTTGCATGATGGTACAGTCCTCTCCCAATCACCTTTTTTTCCAACAGATTTTCTTTTTAATTTTAAGCTTACAGAAAAAATTGTGCAAAAAATACATAGAGTTCCAGTATATTACATACTTCCAGCATATTTTTGCCTTTGATGAGTCAATATTGATGCATTCTAAGTGGACTTTTTTTTTTTTTTCAATTTTGTTGTTTTCTTCCTACGGATTTTGACAAATGTGTGTATACCATTGCAGTATCATACTGAGTCATTTCACTGTGATTTTGGTGTAACTTATTATACCATCTTAGTACAGAGATGAGACTTTACAACCACTTTTTTTTTTATGTCTTCATTCCTTCATAGGTGGAGCATATGCTCTTATATGTCATCTGTATGTAACTATCCTTGATTTCTTTGGAATAGGCCAAGAAATGGTAAGGTTGAGAAGCCAAGTAAAGAGAACAGTAAGAAGAAAGCAAAATCATGTTAAGATTGCTTTGTTTGAGGGATGTTTAATTTCATTGCTAACTTATTTCTTATCATCTAGCTATTGTCCTTTTTTATTA